TATAATAATAAAGGAGACTTAAACTAATAACCAAAACTGATAATAACAATAATATAAATTGCAATTTAGATCTTAAATTTAAACAAGTGTTGCAATTTTTATCATACGTWCAGTATTCGCTAATTCATAAGTTAATTTTAGCAATATACAAGGTAAACATTAAAAAAAAATCACTAATATTAATGAAATCAAACTTGGCATAAAATAAAATTTGATTAACTCATAAATTTGACAATTGAATAACTTTGCAAAACTGACAAAATTTAGCTAAAAATCAACTTTAATGTCATTTTTTTTTGTCAAATCCCATCAAATTGTACTAAACATGTATTTTATAATTGATCATTTAAAGAAAAACGGATCAAAAGGTAAAATTTTCAAAATATTTTCAAATTTAAAGTAAATTGTAATTTATAGTTTTAACAAATTTACCTTGAGAATTCTGTCTTTGCCCTATCTCCTATCTTCTCTTTCCCTTTTAATTCACACACTTGTTCGTAAGATCACTGGGCCCAACCCAACCCAAAGCCCACTTCGAYTTTGTGGACTATACACGGCCCAATATAGCAATTTATATACCCTCAAGAGCCTGTTGCCATGAAGGAGTGTCGTGGTGTAGTTGGTTATCACGTCANTTTGTGGACTATACACGGCCCAATATAGCAATTTATATACCCTCAAGAGCCTGTTGCCATGAAGGAGTGTCGTGGTGTAGTTGGTTATCACGTCAACTAAGACACTGAAGATCTCTGGTTTAAGTTTGGGCAATGCCAGTTATAAATTTTTAATAACATATATAAATAATAATAARAAAATTATTTATTTAAATTTCCATGGTGGTTTTGCCAAACTAAAGGAGACCGAAGGGAACTGATAATCAAATGGAAAAGATTGCCAAAGGTGGTTGTCATGAACTGTTCTACAAAAAAGGGGRTTTCTCTCTCTTTTTTGAAAGAAGAAAAAAAAAGGTTGAAATTTAATTAATTGAAATGAAAGTGTGATAATTGGGGCATCCAATCCAATCCAATCCATGTGCAAACCAATGCCAACAAATACTAATGATCATCACATTATTCACTAAGTTTTGGGGTCAAACCCAATACATTATTAATCTTCATCTTCAACTTGTCTTTCTTTTATTCCTTTTCAAGGGAGAGAAACCAAGTTTTTTCTTTCTTAAGAAAATTGAGATTTCATGAATCATTTATAGAAAAGATTTCAAAATTATTGAAATTGAGATAAAGAGTCGTAATGAAATCTAAACCTTCGAATATTTGCAAGGAACAAACAAATGAAAGTAAAACTAAATTATCTAGCAGGAACAAACAGATGAAATAACTTATGTTATTTTTCTATCCATACTTTTAGAGCAACAATAATRTTAAATTATGGTCGAAGATACATACTTTGAGCTACGGAAGAATAATCTCGATTACATGTTTATATGGGGTAACTTCAAATAAAATCAATTGAACATGAAGATTGATGGGATGTGAGYTAATTGAAGAAGTAGACAGAATTGTGTGTTTGGAGATGGAAATCATCCAATGTATGGGGGCAATGATGAGTTGATTTGATTTGTTACCAAAAACAAATTGGTTTTGGTTGATGAAAAAGGAAGAACAAGAGAGAAAAGTGTCAAGTTTTAAACTACATTCACTGAACAAAACAAATGAAGGAACATTTGAAAACGCCTCATCTTCATCTTCCATCTTTTACAAAATGCCCAAATGGGCCTCTGGAGTGGAGAGGGCTCTGTTTGTTTCTATGTTTGTTTCTTTGTTTGTTTTTTCTTTTTACAGTGTTATTTCTAACTTTCTCCTTTACAGGGCTGTGTGTAAATGTAAATCGTCAATGGCGGCCATCAATCGCTCTCACTTCTCTTTTTCAGAACTGGGAAATGCAGCGTCTGTGGCAAGCGGTGGTTCTCTTCTTCTGCTGCTTCGTCTCCGCCTTCCATACGCTGCCAATATCTTGAGCTATTTTCATGGCGTCCGACGAAGCCCCTGAAAGCCCTCTCCTCGAGAACCCAACCGCGTACAGCCCCGCTTTTCCCTTCCACCCATGTGGGGATGCTGCTTTTGGGAATCCATTTTTGGAGAACAATTCGCCTTCCTGTTCATTTCAATGCCAAATTTTCTGTCAGCCATTTTTTTTTCACTTTTTCGTCCAACACGTGTTCGACGAAATTACTCTTAGAAAATGTTAGGTTTAAATTCAATGTTTGCCTCACCTGAAGCCAAGAGGGGACATTGCTGCGGTACCCAGTAGCCAGAACTACTGAATCTACATCAAGCTTTTCGCCATTGACAAGCTCTACTTGGTTGCGAGTGAACCTCTTGATTCCTGGTACCACTTTGATGTCACCGGATTTGATTTTCTCCAATGCTCCAATGTCAAGAACAGGGGTCTTCCCAGTCTCGTTTTTGAGCTCCAATGGACCCATTGATGGCCGTTTGAGGCCGTAGTTTTCAATGTTTCCGAGCACCAGCCATGCCAGGACCAACAACAGCTTGTCCACCATCCACAGGGGTAGCCATTTCATCATCGTAACAGCTAGTTCGAATGTTGATTTTCCAAGAACTTCCCTTGGCAAAACATGGACCTGTTGGGAACAGAGCAAAACAAACGCCATTAGAACCATAACTCCATGATTCAAATTGCATTGAGCTGATCATGAACAGTGATATTATAGTTTGTTCCAATGCTTACCGAGCTCCGGACCACCATTGAAGGAGAGGCATCATGGTTGCACAAGTCTAGAGAAACCTCCATGCCGGAGTTGCCACTGCCAACCACCAACACTTTCTTTCCAGTGAACTTCTCGCCGGACTTGTATTCACAAGCATGGGAGACGTCGCCGCAAAACTCGCTGAATCCTTCAATTTCGGGCATTACACGTTCGGCATTCTCGCCGGTCGCCACGACGAGCCACCGGCAAATGTACTCGACCTCGTTGCGGGCTGACCCGGCAGTCGAGATGGTCTTGACTCGCCACAGGCCGCTGGTTTCGTCGTACCTTGCTGATTGAACACACTCATTGAACTGTGGGTTGATCTCAAAATGCTTGGCGTATGATTCAAGGTACTCAATGAACTGCCTCTTGGTTGGGTATTCAGGGAAGTCTTCAGGGAATGGGAGTTTTGGGAGCTGGCAGAATTGCTTTGGAAGGTGAAGCTTAAGCCTGTCATAGGTGCGCTTTTGCCACAGGGAGGCTATGCATTCAGCTCTTTCAAGGACTACAAAAGGCACCCCTTGTTCTCTAAGACAAGCAGCTGTGGCCAGCCCCGAAGGTCCTGCCCCGACGATCACGGGACCGTTAACCCAGATGCAACGGCGAGAGAAGAAGTCGTCGTGATCGGCAAGACGAAATAAGTTCTCCATCACTACTAAGGTAATTCCTCAAAAGGTGTTTTGGTTTGATTGAAACTGTGGTTCTGTGTTTTGTGTTTGCAAATTGCAACAGGTAAGGCTTTTGGAAGTGCTAGCTTTTGTTTGTAGGAGAAGATTGTGGGTAAAGTTTGAAGGGTTTTTGGAATCGGAAGAGAGAAGAGCTTTTGATTTTTGGAGATGAGAATGAAGGGAGGAGTGGAGGGCTTAAATAAGGAGAATTGGATGGTACCATATGAAGAGAGAGAAAGAGGAGAGAGGGAGAGATGCATGTGATGGAAGTGGGAGTCAATGAGCTTTAAAGGGTCATTCTCAAATCATAAGCTTCTGCCTACCCCTTAATTATTTTATTTCCTTATTCCCCTCTTCCCCCTCAATATAATATTAGATCTCACTAATTCATTACTTCATACTCTTTTTAAAAGAATTTAATGYTGAAAGCCCACCATATAGACTATTATTTTGAACCTCATTAATTTAGCTTTTCAAGGCAATTATGGGGAGAGTGGTGATCGGGTAGAGATTCGAACTTCTGACCTATAGAAAAGACTATGTGGGAACCCGAAGCGGCAGCAAATGGATCAGATSAAGGCAATAACCCGAAAGGGATGAAAGGGAGAGATATATGGAATTTTCAAAGGAGTTGAGTCGATCAGGTGAGRGAAGCAGAGAGATTTAATGGGAATGATGGGGGTAGAATGCTGAGTAGGACATGGAGAGGGATCCCACGTGGAGGGAGGGAGAGGAGGGCATGGGGTGAGGGGGCCACACGTCAGCATCCTTTGGACCTCTGAAAAACAAAGCTGCAATGAGAATATTATTAGAAGAATTTGTTGAGTTGAAAGGCTGTTTTGTTTTATGGTTCACACCATCCATCTTGCCAACTGGTACCCTTCAATTTCTCTGCTGCTCATAAACACTACTCTATATATTTTTATTTTTAATGCAATAATATATATATATATATATATATATATATATATGTATATGTATGTATATATATATATGTATGTATGTATATGTACACTGCATATTTACTACCGTTGAAAAATTTGATAACAAGAGAGAAAATAGAATAAATAACTGTCAATCTTTTAATAGTAGATCCTACTCACCGATAAGTACCTAAATATTATTCTTTTTAATATTATAATGTCATATAGATTTTTCACTTTTCTAAAAAAAGTGACTRACAATTAATAACTTTCTARCTCTTCTATGTTTTGGAGCAAAATATTACTTTGTTTAGTATAGATAATTATGTAATCATCGTTTCACTTTGGTTAAAATAACCGACTGTTCTTCCCTATATTTCCAGCTCTTATAACGTTTTGGTTCTCATATTTTTATCTATAATTGTTGAGTCCTTATCCTTTTAAAAATGTAATGACCAAGTCATTGAGTTAAAATATTCATAAAAATTAAGAAGTATGATAAAAAATGAAAAAACTTGTGCATAAAATATCAACAAGTGAACCTCTTTTGGTCCAAAATCAAAATTTCATATGTTTTTAGTAACTAATGTTAGAACTTAATAAAAGCTTAAGTTTACTTTTTCTCTCTCTCTTTTTTTCTTTCTTTGCCTTTTTTTTTTCACATGCCAAGTGGCAGTCGAGATTTGGCTACACATAAACTTTAAGAGGAGAAGAGGTCCGGTAGAAATCTAAACACATGTTTTTAGGTAATAGCGAGGTAGATTTAGACGGTGAAAGAAAGATATATAATACGAGTGTAAAAGAAAGTGGTTATGTGGCCCTTGGAAGTAATGACATGTATGGACATATACTTTGAAATTACAATCTGTACTCCTTTTGAYGAAAAGTGAGATTTGGCATTTTCTTTTTCTCTCTTTGGAAACCTAAATGAGTAGTATCCTATCATCATTCCCAACTTTCACTCTCATCATCAAACCCCCCAACTTTACATACCAACCTCCAAGAATATTATGTAACACTAAGAACCAATTATATATGCACATAAATATATAATATATAATATATCTTTACCTATTTAGCCAATATTAGATAGGGATATTGTTGTGGTTTGGTGTAATCATTCTTGTGGGTGCTCATGCCTCTTAATATTGACATACCTTAGTTAGTCATTTCACAACTATTACTTCATAGGGAGTTTAACTATGTACACTGTTAAACAACTAAGTTGTAATGCAGTTTTTTAGTTCAACAATTGCATAGTGGAAGATTGAATCATCCCAAYCTTTATGATGCTAATATATGTCTTGTCTACTGAGTTATACTTGAATTGACTCATAAAAAGTTATTACATTACATGTTACTAGGTAAAATCTAATACTGCACAGGGTCTTTTCCTGCTTGGATATGTGTGTCTGAGCTGTCCAAAGATGGGGAGAATGGGTTCGTGACTTCATAAGGAGAGCTTAATCTGACTCCAACTTGGAGAAGATTCTCATCAACGAAAAATMTGTTGACATTCAACGGAAGGATGATTTTACTGTCAGAAGATCTTCCAATTATCAGCAGAAAATCGTTGAATGATAGATATGACAGTTTCAATGATAGAACATCGAATTCTCAATGTTCTCTTGTAGAAGGTAGGAGTCCCACCATTTTCAAAGGTACACAATCTCTTACAATCTCGGCATGACATCAACTCAGACTTAATACTAACTTAAGCTTCAAAGTGTGTTGTCGAACGTGTAAATTTCTGTTTGCTTAATATATGAATATTTGAGTTGTGCTCGGGTTTGATGAAATTATGAAAAAAGGAAAAAAGGGGGAGAATATTGGGGAGGGGTTATTCTTGTTATCCGCAGCCACCCAACCAGGCTTGCAGTGCTCCCACAGCCAGCTTGGATTTTGATGAAGAATTAAGCCTTTCCACTTTTGGCATGGGAGAGGGAGAGGGATGAAATTATGAAAAAAGGAAAAAAGGGGGAGAATATTGGGGAGGGGTTATTCTTGTTATCCGCAGCCACCCAACCAGGCTTGCAGTGCTCCCACAGCCAGCTTGGATTTTGATGAAGAATTAAGCCTTTCCACTTTTGGCATGGGAGAGGGAGAGGGAGAGGGAGGGAATATGCACTTCTTTCCCTAAAACCCTAAAAAATTCCTTCTTTTTTTGCTTTCAAAAAGAAATAATATTATAAACCCTAAAAAGTTATTTACTTATTTATTGGGAAAAATTGAAATGTGTAATAATTAATGGTGAGTTTTCAGTCACGCGTGTAACAAAAAAGGTTGAAGAAACCAAAAAATCATTGGTTTTTGTATGCCAAACCTGGCATTAAGATGCAACCATTTGAACCTTCTTTTTAAAATAACTTCTTTTCTTTTTCTAACATTTATGATTTTCGACTGGTTTATAAATAATTAACCTTACATTTTTAAATACTACTTTCGTTTCTATATTTTCGAAACATCTATTTTGGTCCTTATATTTTGAAAAAACGACTACTTTGGTTTCTATTTGTAAATTAAAAAAAAAGTATACAAAATAAAAACTATTTAGTACAAATTTATGACTATGTTTCAACAAGTTCGGATCATTTCTTAAATTACAGGGACTAAAATGAAGGATTTGAAAGTATATAGATCAAAATAGTATTTAATCATRCTTTATAAATAATTACCAATAAATCATTTATGAAAATATAATTTTTTTAGTAAAAAGTATATATCTTAACCAGTTTAGGTATGTTCTGGTGGGGTTTAAAAATATTCTGTTAGCTACACTATTTATTATTATTTTATAAGATACATATTTTTTACCCATAATTTATTTAATAAACTACTTGCATATTAGTTATTCATGGATGAATATGAATGAACCTTRGGTTTTAAAACTCTACAAATCATATATTTTCTCTACTAAAAAAAATCTCTTTTTRAGTAACGGTAGAGTAGAAATTTGAAAGGAGTGCAAAAATTTACAATTCAAAAAAAAAAAAAGAAGAAGAAGTAATATTTGTATTATATATAAAGATATTGTTTGCAATTTATTGCAAAATAGTCCACCTATAACCAAAAACAGATGAATTGAGAAAACTTGTTCCTCCTCATCAATTAATTATTTTTTAATGTTTTATTAATTACCATTATAATTTACCAAACATATATATGGAGGGTATCTTGGGATTGTTTGTGACAAACATCTACATATCTTGCTTGGAATATATGACAGATGGATTTTTCATATTATTACCAAATATACTATTATTTGGACCAAAATACCCTTCCCCATGAAAATAATCGGTACCAACGATAACTACATAGATAGATACATCGACAATATTAAAGCTTAATTAGATTATTCTCATTTTTCTGTTGATGTTGGTTAAGTTCTTTTAAAAATTTGATTATTGGTATAAGTATGATCAAATCRCTTGATTTTAATTAGTTTAGGTTGAAGGTTAATTAGTGAAACCCTTTTGGTCAAACTCAATGAACAAGGGAGGGAATATATACTTCTCTTAGAATTTGGCTGGAAAGGGAATATATTAATTATTAATAATTATGAATCATTTATTTTTCTCTTGAAAAGAATTATGGGGTTAGGTTCACTTCATGATTGTTAAAGGGCCCATTAGATTGCAAGGGGTTCCTATTTCAATATATTAATTTCTCTCTCCCAATCCAACTCAAATTGGGTAGGAATTTCTTAATTTAATTAGAAATATAAATCTTTTTCTTTTTAGTTAATTTTAAGGGGGGAATGAGAATGCAATTCTCTCGTTTTCGATCTCGAACCAAAATACTTAAATTAGAAAGAGTGTGACAGATCAGAAGGAGTACATGAATAAACCATCACTACATTTAAATGAGAGAGATCCTAAAATCAACTACGCATGCATGATTAAAGTAGGAACTACTTATACAATCTCTTTTTATTAATTCAATCTTAATTAAGGATTAATATTTCTTTCATTAGGGTCGGAGATCGGGAACAAATCTTAGACTTTGCCTCTTTCTCTCCTTCATTATTTATAATTATTTGCCCCCCTAACTTGATATGCTGTAAAACAACCATTGTTTTTATATTATTTGAGAAAATATATATGCTTCCATTATATGTCACAAAGAGATCATATATGTACAATTCCACAAACATTGCAACAATAAACAAAATTAATTATTACCCCAATTTGAAGTTTTTAATGAATCGCTCAAATTAAAATATAACAAGTAAATAAGAAATGGATTATGTGTCACAAAAACACACCATGAGAATTGTTGGGGAAAAATGAATAAATAATTAAGATAATTACAAAGAAAAAAAAACAAAACAAAATCTTGAAGAATCTATAAGGGCATATATTAAAGAGTTGGGGAAAGATTTAGAAAATCTACATCATTAAAAACCCTCTGATTTATTTTTTTTTTCTCTTCATGTGATTCATGGGTGGCTCACTTTTTTCTTCTTAATTTTAATTTTTTGGGTAGTAAATTAAAATTAGTAAGGAATTAATTAATTAATTAATATGAGAATATTTTCTTTCATGTGTTTAGATATTTTGTGATCTATGATCTTTGTAACTATGATTGGTACCAAGATATTCAATTATCATCACTTTAAGAACATGGGACTTTTGTCAAAGACAAATGTTATMACACATAATAAAATTTGGTCAAACATGTTTTTTTTTCCTCTTTCTTTCACTAAGTTCTAATGTATTAATTAAATATTATTTATTGGAAAAAAATTAATAAGAGTCATTAATCTTTTTTTTTCTTTTTTGAAAAGAAAGATTCATCATTTTCTCCTTTTAGGGTGGTGTTGTTTAATTTT